GGTCCAGCAGCTGACAGTCACACATCCATCCACTCAAGGGAAGTTGGTGTGTCCCTCTAACTCCTGACCATGCTTCCCATCTGTGTCTGCTGTAGCCCATCTTACCTCTGTCATTAGACTATAAGCTGCCTGAGGGCTGGAAATCTACCCCTCCCTCATCTCTGCAACCCACTACCATTCCCAGCAATTTCATACACACAATTACCTGTTGAATGCATGTTCAATGTAAAATGTATCTGAGACTGATTTTGTAAAGATAGGGGGAAACCATGAGCAGGAGTTGTCTGAAGAATGAATCCTTATTTTAGATCCCACTGAGTCTCTCTGTCATGGACTCTTTGGACTATGAAAACAGGAACAATTATGGTGTAAATGGACTTTGAAAATAGCAATAATTAGGTAATTAAAAATGTACTTCAGTTTCATTATAGTGTCCATAAAATTCCACCATCGAAAAACAAACTATTTTTAACATATTTTATTTAATATAATTCATGTAATTGTGATTTTTATGTTCCACCTAGTTATGTAATTAAGTAGTACATGGCTATTTCTTACAATTAAACATTGCTAAAATCTGCCGCCAGTTTGGAACACAGAGTATGATATATTTAACAACTTTTTATGCTAAACAGTAGACACAGTTAACACTGTATTCATTTAATTCCATTTTAATTAGTTGAATAATATTTTCAAATGTGAATTTAGCCCTAACTAGAATAGTACATTACTTAAGGTTGTTTTCTTTCAAATTATGTATCTGTAACCTGTTGAGGTTTCTTGTAGAAGAAAATGGTGGTACGTGTGGGTTCCTGAGTTGAAAATCGTGCAGGTTTTTCAGTTCTTGTTCAGAGCTTCCTACTCACTGGTTAGATCCATTCTCATGATATAGTGTACACCAGCAAAACTTCCCCTGTTTCTCCTTGAAGCGTTAACCCCTAGACGCTCATGAAATGTGTTCCAGGCATGGCTGGGCTCCTGGAAGCAGCCTGAGGCCTGATACACAGAAGAAAGATCAGAGGCTTCATTTTTCTAGATACACCTCCTGCTTTGGGGAGAGGCATTCTGAACTCCTCAAACAAACTGCCTCTGCCACTGGCCCTTGTCACCAGCCCTGATCTCTGAGTGATGCAGGGGCAAGAAGTGAGGCAAGAGATGAAACTTCTTGGATTCAAGAAGAAAAAACAGGTGCAAAGGCCCTTTTGAGACTGTGTCATTGGTGATGTTACTATAAGACTTCCCATTCCTGTTTTTCTTGAGAGTCCCTCCAACCCAGGCCTGTGCCTCTATAGGCCAAGCTTCACCTTTGGTCGCTGGACCTGCCCTACCTCCAGTTCCCCTGCACTCATTTGCCGGGCTTAGAGCATCCCCCCAGGTACACCTTCCCAGCAGTTTCCCTCTCTCTTCCACTCTGGTCTCCTTTCCTTTACCCTCCCATCTACCAACTACTAACTCTTAAATGAAGTGTCCTTTTTAAAAAATTATTCTTTATTTCTTTTATTAATGAGTTAGGATACAAAAAAGTCACTAAAAATTACATTAAAAACTCATAAACATTGTTCAAATCTTCTTTCAAAGCTCCAGGCCTTGTTGCCTCCTTCAAAATCAACTTCCCCTCTTTTGTTCATGCTTCCACTTGGCCCACTGACCTGACCTTCTCTCCCTCTGTTCCTAGAATTGAACCCCCACCCAACCACTCCATGCACCTTGGCTGAGATCTTGCCACAGAATGGGGAGAAGGGGTTGGGGGCCCTTGAGGACTTCATCTCTCAAGTCAGGATTACCCTCACTGCACCTAAGGGGCATCACTGCTCATCCCAACTGCTGACAAACCCCATTCCCACTCCTTCTGCCACTGAGTTAGCCCCATTCATGTCAGGCCTCAGCTCCCACCATGCCTGTCTCCCATGACACCTTCCTAGCACTGCCTCAGACACTCAGAACTAAATGAGATAAGGCATGACCAAAGGCTTAACAACCAACACGACAATAATAAGATCATTAATGCTTATTGAATACCTCCTCAGTGCCTGGCTCTGGACCCAGCACATTACATTAATCATCTAATTTAGTGCTCCAACAGGCACAAACTACTCCTACTATCCCCACTTAGGGCGGGTTATGAGACTGGCCTGAAGTCCTACAACCACTCAGTGGTAGAGCCAGAATTCAAACCTCTGAATCCTGGGTCTGTGCCCCTAGTCACTACTCTGTCCTGTCTCCCTAGCAGGGGACCCAGCAAATGGTAAGTGTCCAATAATTATTAGTTACTGCACTGAGTCCCAAGGAATAATCTTCTTTTCATTGTTCCCATTACTCTTGCAATCGGAGTCTCCAAATTCATTGCTCAGTTTAGAATATCAGTTAATTTTCAGTTAGTTTTTTTTTTTTTTTTTTCCTGCACCTGGCTGGGCACCCACAGGCAGCTCAGTCCCAGGCTTTCTACATGGAGTCATAAGGTCTCTGTCTTTAGGCTCTTGAGTCCATTTGAAATCTGCCAGGGAATCTATCAGTGGCCTTGTATCTGGCGTCTGGCAAACTGGGGTCAGTCTTGAAATCCTCAGTCATGGCCTTCTGCTTATCACACGCTTCAAACATCAGGATCCTGACTACTCTGATACCTTCAGGTCCAGCTCCAATCCCATTTTGGCTTCCCAGCCTCAGCTCCACCTGATTTCAGCCTCAGCCATCCTAAAATCTTGGCATGACTTGGGCCTTCCACAAGTCAATTTATGGCTGGGACTGAAGCAATGTTGTGATGAAGGTAGCATCAGTAAGTAAGATCTGCACATGGAAGTGTGTGTTGTCAAACACCTCTGAAAGAGGAACTGTGTGGCCACAGTTCAGGAATCAGCATTGGGAAAACCACGACTTGTGGTAAACCATGTCTTCACTGCCCCTACACAAAACCAGCTGTGATAGGTCCCATGCTATGCGCCAGGGAATTACACTATGACTCTTCTAATTCTATTTCCAATTCCCGTAACAACCCTGCAAGTTAGGTATTGCTACCCTCACTCTACAGGAGAAGGAGAAGCTCAAGTGTGCAGTGGATATGTGATGATGTTTTTGTCTGCTCACAATTCATTGTTTCTTCTAATACTAGTACCCTGACTTCCCTTTCCCGTGTATACAGTCTTCATGAACTCCATTGCCAAGAGACAGGCGTGTGATACAAGCTCGGCCAATTGGACTCTCTTTCTTTGGAGCCTGAATGTTAAGATGAGGAAGACAAAGATGGGAAATGATTGAAGAGGGTTTATCCCAGCAGGATGCCCGAAGAGACCTCATTACTTTCTGCAGTCTAGAGGCCAGGAGCTGCTCAGCCCCCAACCTTTCCAGGACTCCTTGTTAATTCAGCCTTTGCTTTGATATCCTAAACTGATCCATAGCCTCCTAACGTTAACTAGCATCTATTTTTGTTGCTGGAAACCCCAAACCTCCACATGATAAAGGGACATTCATTAATTTGTCTACTGAAGAGTTCTTGAGCACATTCTCTGTGTGAGGCTCTGTGCTTGGTGCTAAGGGTGTTGCCACAAGCAGGACAGAGGTTTCTATAATTAGCAAAGGCAGTCATTCATTGCACTTATGATAAAGGTTTTAGAACAAGGAGCTCATCCTGGGTAACACACAGGTCCATTCCTTGGCTTGGCATCAAGATAGCTTGTCCCATATTCCACACTATTTTATAGGCCTGCGTGCTTTATACACACATTGATCAGGTATCATTCAAAGGGATTCTTTTCTCCACCACTGCACTAAACAGTGGCACGAACAAGTGCCACGTATTTAAACACACAAGTACAATTTCCTCAGAAATTCTTCTATTGATTTGGCTAATCCATTCTTTCTTGGGAACTTTGTGGAGGAAAGTTTCTTAGAGTCAAAAGAATCTCGTATGGTGAATCAGGAGACTTGACTCAATTTGTCGTTTTATTACAAATTTCCATTGTGCTATTAGACACGTTAGTTATCCCAAGTGAGTCTCAGTTTTCCCTTATATAAACTCAGAAATAGTTCAGATGATCTCTGAGGCTCTTCTGCTTTGATATTTCTAAATATCTTCTTCAAGCCCCTGGAATTAAGAGAGAAAAAAAGTTGCTTCTCCCTGTGATTTGAGGTTCTGAATGGCATCAAAAGAGTTAAACTCTGCAGTACTTTGCAACATTGATAAAAAACCTGTGTATTTTAATTTCTAATAAAAAAAATCAAGCAGGTATGAATAGCAATAAAATTGCTCAAAAATTGTTCAAATTGAAGGGAAACAATTGGAAATGGATTTGGAAATATAATGTTTAGCTAAGCAAGCTATAATGTTCTGTTATTTTAATCAGCATTGTAAAGTAATTTAAATGATGCAGGAATAGACTTTTACACTTTAATATATAATCACTTTTTTCAATGCATTCATCAAAAGGTATTTCATGTTAATGATTCTATAGCTGATGACAGACACCAGCAATAATGGTCTCTCGCCTGCTCCAGGTATGTGTTTGCAGGATTTAGATTTGACTTTTATTTCCACTCTTCCCGCCTAGTCTTAAAGAAAAATTTCTGCAATTTTGGAAGAAAATTCATATTACTTAATGTTGCAAAGATAGAAAAAATTAGAAAAGGAAATCTAGGACATTTCCTCAATATTGTTTCTTCTATAACACTAGAAAGTTGGAGCAGATTACAGGGGTTATCCCAACAACTCACCTGCCTTCAGGCCCCTAGAATGCAAACAGATATAAACGTGGCTTTTTGTTTAAAATTCTTTTACAAAGAGAGATGAGATTCTGTCACCCTATAGCCATTTTGTCTGTGTTAAATTAATGTTTATTGAAAATGGAAGAGTTGTATGAATTAAATGCTGAAAAGTAGATTTCTTTCTACTTAGGGGCTGATGTCTACCATTATCAAATGGCTCTCTCATAAAGTTTTTTTAAAAGAATAACTTGAAATTTTCTCGCTGCAGTTTAAGTATTTATCGTGTCCTTATGTCCTTGCTGCAGAAGGGAATATAAGACAGCTGAAGGACATGTTGCTGTTCCCAGAATGGTGATGCAATCCAAGGATTTTGGGGACCTGGACTTGTGTTTCCAAGGACTTTCCTTTCACCCAAAATAAAATATGCTTTTGGTGCCTCTTGCTTTGCTTTTGCCCATGTTGGTACTTGTTCAATGTGAGAAATCAATCTGTCCATCCATCTCTCCACCTATCCATCCATCCACCCATGCACCCATTCTCTCATCCATCCATCCATCCACCCACCCACCCACCCACCCATCTGTCCACCCATCCATCCATCCATAAATCTACCCACTCATCCATTCATCCATCCAATCACCCACCCATTCATTTATCCATCCATCCATCCATTCGTCTGTCCACTCATCCATCCATTCATTTATCCATTCACATATCCATCCATTCATTTATCCATCCATCCATCCATCCATCCATCCATCCATCCATCCATCCACTTCACCCATCCATCTATTCATTAATCTTCCACTCACCCATCAATTCATCCATCCATTCATCTACCCATGCATCCATCCACCCATCTATTCATCCACCCACCTACCCATCCATCCATCCATCCATCCATCCATCCATCCATCCATCCATCCATGTATCTCTAGAATTTCCCCAAGACAAAAATAGAACATAGGCCTAGATGTGTCTTTAAAGCCGTTTGAATACTATTTCGAAATTATAAAGTTTCTACTTTGGCTATTCAGAAACATTTTTGGAAAAGGCAGCCTTGTATTTATCAGCTAAGTGCCAAAGAGTGGGGTTGGATTCAAAGTGCTAAGGAGCTGAGCGAGGCTAGTGTCCAGGTGGGGAAGGGGCCAGGAGCCTCTGTTTTGGGCTGAGTCTGCCCCAGATAGAGGGTCGGGCAGTCATTCCTCTCTTTGGAATGGCAATGAAGGACTGGAAAAAAATGGCGGACTCCAGGTTGAGACTCATCTCTACATGGTGCTCCCGGCTGAAGCGGGCTCAGCCCAGAGCCAGCTGGGGCCAGGAAGGAATGAAAGCTGCTGAGGCCACACCCTTGGTGAAAAGAGCTCTCTGGGTCCTTTCATCCCGAGTTTCAGGAGCCATAAACAGCCAGTATTTCAGTGCCCTTCAGGAGAAAGAAGTGGATCAAAGATTGAAGGAGCCATGCAGACTTGCAGTGAATGCAGAGATACAGTCAGCTCTGTCCATAATGGAATAAAGAAGGGGCAGGAAAGGAAACCTCCACTTACTAGCTGGGAGTCCCTAAAATGTTCCACCTTGGTTTTCACACCTGTAAATGATAAATTATAAAAATTGCGGTATCATGGGCTTAGGGTGAGAATTGCATAAGGTAACAAGTGTAAGGCACTTGGCCCCTAACCTGGTGAAATGTGGCTGCTCAGGGAGTGACAGCTGTGAATGAGCAATTGTGTTCAGGAACAGTCGACAAGCAGCCTCTCCAGAATGGCACCTGACTGGCTCATCTCCTACACCTTTGCAGGATATAACTAGAGTCCAGGAAGGATCGTAGCCCTACTGAGAACTTGAAAGATCCCAAGTTCCATCCTCAAAGCATCCTCGCTGCCGCATCATTACAAAATCCCCGTGATCCACCTTTTCAAAGGTACATGTTAACCTATCTGTGTAGTGTGTACTTACTGAGTGCCTGTGGGGCTGTCCAGCTCCAGCTCCCTGTGTTGAAGGGAGGAGCAAGGGAAGGGAAGGCTCTCCTCTCACCCTGGCGGGGCTTGTGGCTTGCTGGGCAGAGGAGACACAGTGCATCTTGCAGCCCTGGACAGGGCACCAAGCAATGTGTGGAACAAGGTTTCCATGCCTGCAAAGTGCAGGAAAGACAACTCAGGACAGAAACATGGACAGCCAAGAAGCTGGGGAAAATGTTCCCTTGTACTAGCAAACAAAGCAATGCCTATAGCATTGTCAGTAACTTAACATTCTGTCTACACACATCCAAAGATTAAAACAACAGTAACGACAACATTCTACTCATGGTTGGGGTAAGTATAAGCAGGTATGAGCAGTAATGAAATTTGCTACAGTAGACTGATATATTTGACAAGTTTGATTTACATAATTTTAACTGTGCATTTGTCCACCACACCCCTCCCCCAAAAAGGGAAAAGAAAGAAGGAGACAGGGCTGGAGGGAAGGAGGAAGGGAGCTACCAAGGAAGGGAGGGAAGGGAAAGAAAGAAGAAGAGAGGAAGGAAGGGAGGGAAGGAGGGAAGGGAAAGGAAGAGAAGAGAGAGGGAGGAAGGGAGGAATGAAGAAAGGAAGGAAGAGAGGGAGCAAGAGAAGAAGAGAGGAAAGAAGGAAGGAAGGAATTGAACAAGGAAGGAAGAAAGGGAGATGATATGGTTTGACTCTGTGTCCCCACCCAAATCTCATCTCAAATTGTAATCCCCACATGTGGAGGGAAGGAGGTGATTGGATCATGGGGCAATTTCCCCCATGCTGTTCTTGTGATAGTGAATTCTCAGGAGATCCGATGGTTTTATAAGCATCTGGCATTTCCCCTGCTTGCACTTCTCTCTCTTGCAGCCATGTGAAGAAGGTGTTTGCTTCCCCTTCACCTTCTGCCATGATTTTAAGTTTCCTGAGGTCTCTCCAGCCATGCGGAACTGTGAGTTGACTAAGCCTCTTTCTTTTATAAATTACCCAGTCTTGGAAAGCTCTTTGTAGCAGTGTGAAAACAGACTAATACAGGAGGGGAGAAGGAAGGAAGGAGGGAAGAGAGGGGAGAAGGTAGAAAGGGAGGGAGGGAAGAAGAGAAGAAAGAGAAAAGGAAAGAAGAAAGGTAGAAACAAGGAAGGAAGATGTACCTGGAGCCTGCCTTACCACCCGTCATTTCCCTCCAGGTGTGTGCTCAGGAGAGAGCACCTGAAGGGAGGTCCTGCTGCTTTCTCCCCAGAGCTGTTTCTTCACTGGGTCTGTGTAGTGTGATCATCCCAAGGGCTGGGTCTGAGACTCGTGTTTAACGACCCATTCTCATACCAGATGTCCCCTAAAGCCTAACAGCTCCTAGCATAAGAACTGCAAAGATGGCTCTCCTTGCTACCCACCCCCAGCTTGTACCCTCCAATCTGTTTTCCAAGGAGCAGTCAGAGAGATCCTTTAAAACAGGAGTCACTCAAGTCATGCCTCTGCTAAACATGCTCCACAATTTCCATTCCTCTCTGGAAAAAGTCCGTATCCACCCAATGCCCTGCCTAGCTCACCTCTCTGGTCTCCTCCTATCCTTCACTCTTTCTGCCACACACTGGTCTTTGGACACACCAACCTCCTTTTTGTTCCTTCAACATGCCAGTTGTGCCTCCTTCTCAACTCATACATGGTGTTTCCTCTCCTGGGAATGCCCTTCCACCAGCTAGTTGCATAGCTCAATTCTCACTGTCTTCAAGTCACCTCTTCTCAATGGAACTTCCTTTGACCATCTAAACCTCTATGGCACCCTCCTCCCAACATACTTCTCTTTTAGCCCTGCCTAGTCTTTTTTTTTTTTTCTATATTACTTATCATCTTCTAACGCTTTAGAAATTTTGTGATTGTTAGGCTTAATTTTCGTTATCTGTCTCCACCAGAATAGCTTTTTACAGTGAATATATTGGTCTAGTTTTGTGTCTGTCCCATCTCCATCTCCTGGCACCATGCCTGACACAGAGTAATTACTCAATAAACAGTGTTTGAGTTATTGCATGAACAAATGAATTACTGAATGTCAATTTCCAACACTGTATTTTCTTAAAAGATGCACCAGGGCAATTTTGATGACAAGCATTTTGTATTATATGCACTGACTTCAGAAATATCCCTCCCACTTCATTTGAGAGTCTATTATAGAAGGTTTCAGAAGATAATTTGGCAACATGTATTAAGGGCTTAAGAGTTTATCCTAGGAAAATTTCACGTGTTCACGAATGTTGAACAAAACTACGGGCAGCTCAGTGTTGTATCAAATACAAAAAATTGGAAGTGATCTAACTACCCAATAATGATTGAGGTAATAAAAAAGTATGGTCTGCACAAACAATGGAGTATTATTTGGCATTTAAAATGCAGAGAAGTAGAATTGTTTCTAAATAGAAAATGTTTATAATATATGAGTTGAAAAAGTTATGAAACAGTAAATAGATTAGAATATCACATTTAAAAAAGAAACATACATATATTGATATACACATATATGTATTATTTATGTGAATATGCATATACATATATCTATATCTATACATCTATAAATATTTCCCAGGAAACTATAATTTTATATGCTATGGTGTTGTCATTAGTGATTTCTAAATTGTTACTTTTTTGTGAATTATTTTAGTAAATTGTTTCACATTACCTTATCTTTTTCTCTAATTTTTCTCAAAGATCATGACTTTTTTTTTTTTAGACAGAGTCTCGCTCTGTCACCCAGGCCAGAGTGCAATGGCACAATCTCATTTCACTGCAACCTCTGCCTCCATTAGTAGAAATGGGGTTTCACCATGTTTGTCAGGCTGGTCTCAAACTCCCAACCTCAGGTGATCTGCCCGCCTTGGCCTCCCGGAGTGCTGGGATTACAGGCGTGAGCCACCGCGCCCAGCCGTGACTTTTTATGGGTATTTGTATTTGGCAAATAATGGCAATAGATGGTATTTCCAGTAAAAACTGGATCTCAGTGCTTTCTAACATTTAATATTGTAATTTGACTTAAAAGAAGACACCTCCAACTTTTATTTCTTAAATCATCATCTCTGGTCTTCTGAGGAAGGAAGGGGGAAGCCAGGCTGGCCGGGCTGAGCTGGAAGAGGAGCGGACTCTGCTCCAGGACCGCTCTTCCACTCAGCAGTTGAATGAATACAGTGGCGGCCACTGTGAAGCCCAGGTTAGTTCCTGCTCAATTTAATCACACAGTCCCGCACTCTAGTCAAAGGGGATTAGACATAAGTGGAGATGCCATGGCCACGTACACTGCTGCTTTGGAGTATGGCTTATTTATTCCTTTAGTCAGTTTTTTCCCCAAAATCATTGATATTTCCGTATTAAATTATATGACTTATCAAGAAAAATCAACTTTTCAAACATAGTGAATTTTTTTGTCAGCAATTTGACATTCATTATGTGTTTATTTTTATGTAGGCAAATTTTTTAAGCTTTTCCTCTTTTTGATGCATCCCTTCATTTTTAGATTTAACATGAACATTTAATCAACATGCAGAGATTGGTATTTTTAAGTCATTTTATAACTTTCTAATCCATCTGTATATGTGTGTATGTGTATTTGGGCGATAGTACAGGGTGAGAGAATAATTTAAGCGTTATTAAAAATTAAATGATTACAATTTGCCCCAGACCTACCTGTAGAGTAATTTTCTGTAACCCACTCTCCTGAAATGATACTTCTAACGCTGTACTAAGCTGTATTCATTTATTACTAAATATTCAATAGGCACCTATCACAACGCTGTCACAGTGTTAGGATCCTTTCGAGATTTTCTTCTTTTTAATTGGTTTTTCTACATTTTTTTCCCCTGACACCACACTGCTTTAATTATACTTGCTTTAAAGTACAGTTTAATATGTGGTATTTGAAAGCCCACTTTATCACTATTCTTTTTTCAAAATAAACTTCAGTTTTCAGAGTTGTTTTGGATTCACAGACAATTGAGCAGAAGGCACAGAGATTTCCGAGGCACCCCCCTTCCTACACACATGCACAACCTCCCATTACCAACAGCCCACACTGTAGTGGTGCATGCATCTGTTACAATTGATAAACGTACATTAACACATCGTCACCACCCAGAGTCCGTAGTTTACATGAGGGTTCGCTCTTGGTATTGCACATTCTATGGGCTTAGGTAAATGCCTAATGAGTATCCAGCATCCCAGTATTGTACAGAATTGTTTCACTGCACTAAATATCCTCTGTGCTTTGTCTGTTCACCTGCCTCCCTCCAGTCTTCCACTGGACACTACTGATCTTTTTACTATCTCCATCATTTTGCCTTTCCCAGAATGTCATACAGTTGAAATTACACAGTAGGTAGCCTTATCAATTTGGCTTCTTTTACTTAATAATATGCATTTAAGTTTTCTATGTATCTTTTTATGGCTTGGTAGCTCATTTCTTTTTAGTCTTGAATGATATTCCAAAGTCAAGATGTACCAGACTTTTAGTTTATTTATCCATTCGCCTACTCAAGAACATATTGGTTTTGGCAATTCTTAATAAAGCTGCTATACATTTCAATGTCCAGGTTTTTTTTTTCTTTTTTCTTTTTTTTTTAGACACAAGTTTTTGAGTCCTTTGGGTAAATACCAAGCAGTGAGATTGAAGGATGGTATGGTAAGAGTGTGTTTAGTTTTGTAAGAAACTCCCAAACTATCTTCCAAATTGGCTGTTTCATTTTGCATTCCCACCAGCAATGAGAGAGAGTTTCTGTTACTTCATGTTCTTACCAGCATATGGTGTTGTCAGTGTTATCCATTTTAGCCATTCAAATGGGTATGTAGAGGTATCTAATTGCTGCTCCAATTTGCATTTCCCTAATGACATACGGAACAGAGCACCTTTTTATAGACTGTTTGCTATCTGTATATCTTCTTTGGGG